CATTTAACAGCTTATTGTCATTGGGTGTTGTTGAGGTAGAAAACATGGACTCAGTCGTTTACATGAGACTTTTCCCGTTACGTATGTGTGAAGTTTGCAAATATTAAACATGTTTTTGGAACAACTTTGTTGCTGGAAATGCTTGTAGACATGGTACCAGGCCTGTCGGGTTCAAGTTGTGTGACACATATGAATGGTAATTAGGCATCTCCTAGAAAGAAAGAAAGAAAGAAAGAAAGAAAGAAAGAAACAAAAAAAGAAAAAAAGAAAGAAAGAAAGAAAGAAATTATCTTTTATATAACGCCTCTTAATGCAAAAATCCCAAGGTGCTTCACAAGAACAAAAAAATTAAAATACAAAAAAGAAAAAAATCGTTAAAAAATATTGTTAAAATGAGAACAATTTTTTGATGAAAAATGTAAGAAAAGGAAAGAGAAATTGGTAGAAAGAGCAGAATGAGGAGAGGGTGGTGATGAAGGTCACGCAAAAACCAGCTTGAACAGATGTTTTCAGGTTTTCTTTTAAGGAGACCACTGAGTCCACTGATCTCAGCCTCAGGGGGTTAGGGGTGGAGGGTGGGGTGGGGGTGGGGGGTGTCCAGAGTCTGGGGGCCACAGCAGTAAATGTTCTGTCACTTTTGGTCTTCAGTCTGGTCCGCTGCACAACCAGTAGGTTTTGATTGCTGGACCTCAGGGACCTGCTGGGGGAATGGGGACTGAGAAGATCACCAATGAATGGTGATGCTTGTCCCAAAAACCAGAACCAGGACCTTGAAATGGACCCTGAAGTTGACTGGTGGTGATATGTGGCTAGTGCATCTGAGAACCAACTAACAAAAATTTGCCCCACCCTAAAAAAATAAAAATTAGAAAATTAAAATAAAAAAATCACCAGCCACCACTGAAAACTGAACTGATTCTCATGTTAACCCTCTCAGGCTCAAAATAAGTTTTGATAAAAGGACGAACAACTAAGTCCTTCAGGGGTAATTCTGAGTAAAAAAATGCTCATGAACACCGTATGTGGAGTAACCAGGTAGGTAGGTTTTAACGTTGCAAATCTGCAACGCCTGCCGCCTGTGTGTGGTTAACTTGGAGGGTAAATACTGAATGTTGTACTTTCTCTCCTCCTTCTATAAACACTCAGATACTGTGTTAGGCTTGTCATTTAGCCAGATAGATTTCCATTATGATGTCAACTCTTGAAACAGCAAAAAATAAATAAATAAAACATGATAAAGTCCAATCAGAGGAAAATCAATGTAACGTTGCAACATCAACAGTTCTCTGTTTGGTACTGCTGACATAACGCTTCTGTGTCATGCTGACTCTTACAACAAGAGAAACGCTCCATGCAGAACTAATATAACAGCAGAAACAATTATAAAGTCAAAGCATTTGACAAGGTTATGGTTGTTCAAAATTGACCTTAACTGTTCATGGGATATTGCCACCATACATCATCAATTAATTACCCTAATTAATCCAACTGAATTATGCAATAGCAGAACAGAATTTGCTTAAGACACTATGTAACCAACGCCATGAGAAGTGGATGCAGCTGAGCGCCAGAAGAGGGGCTCAGACAGATGGCTTTGTGAGCGCACGTGACTCACCTAATGCTGTCTGCGACTTATCAGCTAATAGGGAGGGGAGCTGATTGTGTCTCTCAATTATCCTGGCAGATGAAAGTAACGAGCGAAACAACAGATATACCGCCTCACTAAATGGGCTCTAATGGGAGAGGCAGAAACTGGAGTAGGAAGGATGGGCGAGAACGGAGGCAAGAAGTAGAACAGGGGTGTGTGTTGGCAGGGGGGGGGGGGGGGGGGGGGGGGAACCAAAATGACATGTCAGAAGATTTTCTTTTTTTTCCCAGTATACAAGAGAGATTGTGATCAGATTTTATTCCACTAGACAGATAATTGGTCATTTTCTTGTTTTGTCCAGTCTTTGTGAAGGTGTGTTTTGAAAAAGACATTTACACTAAGGCAATTTAAAATGGTCTTAAAGGCTCCTAAAAAGGAACTAAATTAAACCAAGTATTCGGTTCCTTTGTTTATTCTTAGGATCTGACTGACATTGCACACCGACTTGATAGATTATAAGACAACGTTAATGAACCAGAATTTGCATTTGAATTCCTAAAACACCTGTACGCTACAGATAGCTGCTGCAAAGGTTTCAGAGTTGCAACAAAACCAGGTTGTGTGGAAAAGAATAACAAACAAAAAAGTTGTTGCCATCACCAAATCTCATCCATACATCATCTGAAGGACAAGCATTGCTCCTGCTATTGGCACAGTCAATATTGTCTAGTTTATGTCTTCTGCAAAAAAATAAAAAATAAAAATAAATAAAAAATAAGGTATCATCAACCTAATCCTGTTCTACGTAATTTCATTTTATAATTTTCTGGAAGACATTTATTAAATATCCACCATTTTTTCATTTTACTAAAAGAAAACATTGACATGTCTTTATTTGAGCCACTCTCCAGGTTAAAATGATGCAACAATAAACTAGATTCAGCTTAAAATCATCTCGGTCCATAATCCTGACAACTAAAGAGTTGTTTCATTGTAATGATGTATGCACCCATCTTTGGCATCTGTTTTGGCAAGTTATTTGTTGAAGTCAGGAAATAGCAGCAGGATGCCGGTTAAGCTCACCTAAACGGAGGCAGCAACAACGTTGGTATGGGAGTCTTATTTCATACTTACTCACAGGGGGAGAAAATTCTGTATATGCTCGGAACAAGCTTCAAGTGTCAAAAAGAAAGTGCTCACAAGGGCCTGGAGGACATTTCTACCAGCAAATAATTAGAACTCAGATAAGCCATGAATAGTGATGGAGAAACTGCAGGAAGCTTGAAAAAAAGGCCTTTTAAGTAATCACTTCCTTACAGAAAAGGTGAGGAGGAAATTTAGCCTTTTATGTTTTAAAAGACCTTCAAAAAGATTTAGCCGACTAGAAGTGGAGCAGCGTAGCGCACCACATGTTCACATCTGCTTAATTCTGACTTTATAAAACCGCTCCTGCATGTTTAATAAAAGAAAAAAAAACACTGTTTTACATAAATATTAAAGAACTCAGGTTACACAATAACACCAGACAAGGAAGTTTGGATTTAAATGAGGAATTGTTTGAAGCAAATTAGAACCGTATATATTTGTAGACTTTATTGTGCTTTCCCGCTTTGTAGAAAAACTCATCCCTCTTGCTTTAAACCAACCTGAACCGTAAACAGTTACCTACAAAAATTTCTGATCAGTCCCAGAATGCTTCCTCTGTCTCTTGGGTTAGAGAACATTATAAATGAAATGACTGTTTCAGGTCGTCTGATCAAAACTCAATAAAAAATAAATCATAATAAAAAACAAAAAACAACTGAAAAACACGTCATAATGTGGAAAAGGAAATAAACTAAACATGAAACACCCAGCTGCTCCATGGGAAAATGACAGATAAACCAATAAATACACAAATGACCCATTGTAACATGGTAATTTTGATATTATAGCTTTCCATACCTGCACCTGTCGCGTGTTTCCTACATGGAGAACCAAGCTGCTGGACCTCTATGAAGGTGCCATTCATGTAGAGAGCTTTCATCAGCTGTCCTGCTTTGTTTCTGTTGTAGCTGTTAGCCAAATGCAACTAAACAAAACAGTCTATGCTTTTTCAGTGTTGATCTGTTTTGACCAACATGCACTTCACCTAAAACCAGAGAACAAGAATACAGGACCTGCACAAGTACATAGAACTCATCTTCTCCAGAGTTTGATGTTTTTGTCTTTTGCTTGAAGACATGGTTCACTTGTCTCTGGTAGGAGTGAATGCCTTGCAAATCGTACTCAAGGCAAAAAAAAAAAAAAAAGCCCAGAAACACTTGGATCAGCACAGACAAGTCTGCTCCTGCAGAGAGTGGCACATCATGGCAGGTTTTGGGGTCTTATTTCCTGATAATTGGACATCTCGCCTCGCGTTGGATAACAGCAACGCGATGCTACCACTAACTTGCAACGTAGATGTTTTCTCCACAAATAGCTCAAGCCTGGAGGAGTTTTTCTGCGTGGTGCTGTTGCTACTGCTAATAGTTAGCTTGTACTAGTCAGGACTTTCTCTGCTGTTTCCTGGACGTTGCACCAAGAATGGCCTTCCCTGTCGTGAGTCAAGGTGGGTGAGTCCATGATTGTTAGGTGACAGTGTGATGTAGATCTGTCAAACTTTTCTAATCCTAGATTTTCACTGTCTATTTTCAGAAGCTAATGCAGGAAATACAGTAGGTGTAGGAGACTATTTTAATGTTCAGCCTGCATAAAAAACTCACAGTGATTATAATCAGAATTAATATTTAAAATTTAAAATAAAAAACTAATTAAATTAAAATGCACACCTTGTAAAGTTGTGTCAGACCTGTGGTATCAGATTACTTATGTGAGACTGAATATGGATCTTTGACTTCTGTCATTTAAATTTGTTTATTTTCAGAAAAACACCGACTGAGCTGAAATGTCTTGCATCATCCTTCATCTTCAGATCAGCTCAAACTTGTTTGAAAGTAACCTTTCTCCACTTTCTTGGGAGGGGACTAAGAAATATGTTCATCCTATCTTTTGCCAACCACAGAAATAAACTCGAGTCTCCTACAATAAGTCCCGACACTGCACGGTAAGAGAAAATAATAAGAGATAGAAAATGGATGGGAGCCAGGACTGGCAGAGGGACACACCAGTGTCCAGTCCAGCATTTGTGCTAAAGCCAAGAGACTAATCAAAACTGTAGGAAACTGAGCATTCAGTAAGTCCTGAGCAGAATAAGAAGCAAACGTAACTGCGGAAGTGTCAGCGTGTGAAAGTGAAATCACTGGCCAAAAAGGCTCAAAGCTTAATAGTTGATGTTAGCACAATCCCAAAGGGAAAAATAAAATATTTCTTTTTCTTCCAATAAAGAAAATGCAATGCAAAATTATGTTCAGCTTCGGTGCTGTGCACTAACCGGTTTCCGACAGGAGCTTGATGGACTCCAGCACACGCTCGGTGTAGACCCCAGGCTCATAGTTCTCCATCTCAGCGTTAATGATGTGGACCACACGAGCTGCTCGTCCCCGAATGGCTCCAGCGGTTCGGTCAAGAGTGTCCACGTCTCCTTCTTGCAGAGCAATTACACACTTGTTGACATCTTCCAGGATGTGGTTCTCTAGAAAGAGCAAACAAAACCAACGTGGATTAAAAAAAGGCAGACGGCAGATTTTCATTGCATTAGCGGCATGATTGTGTTTTCTCAAAAGAATCAATTTTCTTTGTTAAAGTAAATTACAAATATCTTCAAGTGTGCGCTGGTGATTACAAGAAATGAGCACAATTAGTCATGCGCTTTTCTGTTTGTGAGAGATATTTTCCTAAACAATATATAATGATAAAAAACAACACAAATGTTGAACAAATCTACCAGTAAAACCTGTTGTGAAGTTTTGATTCTTCAGCTGCTTTTCTTTTGAAAAAAATAAAAAATAAAATAAAATAAATAAAATAAAAAATAAATAAAATACTTTTTAAGCAAATAATAATTAAAATAAATGTTGTGGCAACCACCAATGAAACAATTTAATAAAGCTATTTATTCTCAAATTGTTTCTTCATTCAAATAAAACTTGAAAACATTAGTTCTACTTTTTGATCCTGTTCTCCGACTAATAAAAACAGCATCCTCCGTCTGGATGGCTCTTTTCTTTTCTTTTCCTGAGTGAGTTTTGTTTTTTTGTTTCTTTATTAAACGTTCTCCCACCCAGTCTGGGGAGAAGAAGAAAAATGACTGCTGTTTACCTGACACGGAGAGAAAGTCATCAACAGATGTGATGTCGTCCACAGCCTCGGTCAGAATGCGCACTTGCTTCTCCCACTGATCCTTGAAAACGTCCATGTTGTCCTGGGCCACTTTGCTTTGGGGCCGGGCGGCGAGGGTGAGCGCGGCATTGATGACCTGGTGTGGAAGACGGGTTAAACTTAAAGTACCTGAGCTTTTTTGTTTTGTTTTGGCAAACGTAGAGATCAGAAAAATGGCACAAAACAGATTTTTTATGACATGAACTAACAAGAGTGGCATTTCTATAACGTCTAAAATGTGCTCATTCTGAAGTGAACATGTATGCTTCATAATCCCCTCTAAATCTTTGCTAAATGCTTTCTTCCTCTTCCTGTGAATGGCAGTAAAAACATGAATATGACAGTATATAGGAGCTCAAACGTCACATTTATAGATAATATAAATTTATAGATAGTATAGATGCTTTTATAGAATTTACAAATTCTATGAAAAAGTCATCTAAATCTTAAAAGACTAAATCATCCTTTCTTATATTTATCTATAGACCAGCACACTTGTGGCTCCCAGATTCAAATGATGCATGTTTACACTCTTCTCTTATAGTTCAGAATTTCAACAGAATGTTCTTCAGACAGCCTTTCGTCTGGGACGCTCACACCATGAAGGGCAGCATGAGATACTCTTAGAAATAGAAATATTTGTTTAGACTTATTCTCAGCTTAGCAAATACCCATAGGTGACTTTGTTTTTTTATTCAGTGCCACACTTAAAATGACATAAGTTGAGCGCCCAATTTTGGATGATGTGCATTTTGTAAATAGTAACAAGTGATGCAGAGAAACAAAAACATAACCACAACGGCCTGGCCTGTATTGGGCTCGACACACGGGAGGCGACATCGCTGTTTCATTCTCCTCCATTCATTTTCATTGAGACATGCGCGACAAAGCGATAATCGCGGGTCTCCCTCATACCAAGCGAAACGTGAAAAACGTGCGTGTGAAATTTTGCGCTCGTGCACGTGTCATGCACAGGCAACCCAGCGACGCGATCCCAGAAAGTTGAAACATTTTCAACTTTTCATCGCTGTCGCTCGGACGAGGACCAATCAACGGAGGTTTCATTCACTGACCAATGAGCGGACAGGATGCTCCGTACATCTCCGAGCAAACATGGAGGAGAAGTTGATTATTATGTTTATATAGTAAAATCAGAAGATTTCACATAACTCCAGCAGCACCTTGTGAAACATCATTTCTACCACGTTATTAACTCTGAACCGCTTAAATAACCTTGATTCCCTCCAACCTGACACAGCCAAACAAAACAACGGAAGTTTCAATTTCACCATGGAACAGAACACGTAGACGGCTTTGCCGCTGGCCACGGGTCGCCTCCCGTGTGTCAGGTAATAAAAGCGACAGCGAGAATTTCGCTGATCGCAGTCGTTTGCCACCTCCCGTGTGTCGAGCCCCTATTTGTGACGTGTCTTCCTACGGCTCTACTTCAAATCAAATCCAACTTTGTTCATAAGCCACTTTTCATACAGTTAATGTGGCTCAAAGTGCCTTACAGATTAAAATGACCCCACATCACCCTCATTCCCATCCCCCCACCCCACACACATCTAAATTTAGAGCAAATTACATTAGGATTACTTCATGAGCTAATGCACCCCATAACAATGTTGTATTTTTTTATTTTATTTTTCTTCATAAAGTCTTTGGTTGTTGCTTATAAACCGTTTGCCTGTAAAGCTGTAAGCAGACAGGTTTTATCCAAGAAAACGAGTCTCTGGAATCAGTTAAACACGAGGAGCCCGGCTTGACTGGGATCACGATAGCAAAGTAAGCTGGTTTAGCTCATGTCTGCATCTATTTGTTAACAGAAATGGTACAAGAAGCTCTTTGCACAGTTTGCATCTTGAAATGAGGGGTGGGGACTTTGTGGGGCGACTAGAGTTGTATCAGCACTACAGTGGCTGAGCTCATCAGGGTTCAAGTAGGGCTAATTTGGTTTCATGTTCTTAGACATGATGGCAATCAGTCCAAGCTGCAGCCTGGTAGAATGAATGGTAAAAGGGCTTAGCATGTAATCCCCAAACCAGACAAATCATTTATGAAATTTTATATTTAGGAGTAACTTCTGTAATAAGCAACATGTTTTCATTTCTTTATTTGGAATTCCAACAGATCCAAGCTTCAAAACGGGCATCAATAATCCCTTCAACATGCCAGCTATCCGTGTACTGACGCTAATAGTCATGATTTATTTCCTGCAAGTTCTTCCACATTTCTTGTTTTTAAGATTTATTTCCAGTTAAAACATTCGATAGTACACTTATAATCCAGACGCAGCAGTTGGTAACCGACTCTGAGCAGATGGAAGAAAAAAGTCTCTTTGTTCTGTTTCTTCTTTGTTCCTCATTCCCCAGCCACAGAGTCTTTGCCTATTATGTTTTTAATCCGTCTCCGTTGAGCATAGCTGAGGGGCATCAGGAGATGATTCCTCCCCAAGTTTTCTAACTTAGTGGGTTTGAGTGGGTGTGTATAGTGGAACGTGCACATTAGCGTTTGAATCTCACGTTCGGCCTCCCCTCCCTCTCTCTCTTTCCTGTTACTGTGTTGTGTCCCATGTGAATACGACCTACCCGTAACCTTGAAAATAAACAATCAATTTCAACATCCGCCTTCATCTGCACTCTGAGAAACGGTGCTACACGCTCCTCCTACGCATTCTGTATAGCTCGTACTCAGATTATGCAGCACATATTGTTTTTAATTCAAGTAACTAATTTCAAAAAATGAAAAATACAAATATTTTCCTTTGAGATTTACTGAGATGGTTAGTTACTAAAAACTAGTAGAGATTGTTTTCACATAGTTATCACCCACTTCTGAAAGGCAAATGCTAAAATGCTTTCCACCTTGTGTGTGTGTGTGTGTGTTTGCATTTGTTAGTAAATATTTTAAGATTTGACATAAATTCTCAGAATGTATGTATTTGCCATACATCTATAATTTGCATTTATAATTAATTCATTAATTGGTATTAAAACTTACAGATGGCCTCCACAATGTTTCTAGAGCTCACCTGTGGACAAAGGCTGTCAATCTGGGTAGCCGCCATTCGTACCAACTTCACACCCTCTTCATTGTTGGAAATGGAGCAGGCCAGGTTAGCCACCTGAAAGGAGCAAGCAAAAGTACCAATTATAACAAAAACATGATCACTAAAAGTTTCAGTAAACTTTCTAAAGTGGGCACATTTTGCTTAGAAATGTTTGGAGTTTCAAATTATTTCTCAAAATATTTAGTAGTTGCTCTTTATTCTGCCACTGTGACCATTTGAACCTTTACTGGATCCGTTTGTTTCATGAGAACAGTTAAAAAGTAAAGGACATGTGTTTTTGTATTTCTCCAACATTAGTGTAAGTAAAAAAAAACAAGAAGTGCAATATTATATTATTAAACAAAAGACTAAAACTTAACTTAAAACTGAACTGTGATTTGCACCCATTTTTATTTACTATAAGGATCGTGAGCTCCAAATTAATCTCTAGCATTCTTTATCCGATACAGAAAAACATCGTGGCTTCTTAGGGTTACAAGAAATATTTCCTGACTCGCTCCTTTTACCGACTAACGTTTGCTGTGTTTCCTCGACCGGAACTAGATTTACAGGAACCTCCCAACACACGCGAGTCTCCACTTGACCGGACCGGCCGAACGGTCGCTTTCAGGAACCATCTGAGTATCAGCTCTGGGTAGGTGCTGCGAACGGCCCAGTGGAGTAGCTGAGCGGAACCTCTGGTTAACTCATGCTTACCAACACATTCTCACACTCTAAGCATCGAAAAATGACATGGTGTGACCAGGCGTTTGTTTCCGACGCGCTGGGTGCCCGTGCCAGAGCGTTGGTATCTGACGCCTGTGGTAAAATGGAGATTTCACTGACATTTCACCTCTAACGATTTAACCTTCCCCTCACCCTCATCCTAACTTTAACCCTGTATGTCAGTCTAAATTTTCCATTAAGAGTGTTTCAAGGGAACGATGTGCAAGCTGGTTAAGGTTAGGATGGGGGTGAGGGGAAGGTTAAATAACAAGAGGGTTAAGGTCACAATTCGGTCAAATGTCCATTGTACCGCGGGCAACGGATGCCTCCCGACGTGCAGGGGCTCCTAATGTGTCGGAAACAAACGCTTGGTCACACTGCGTCGTTTTTCGACGCTTACCCCCAAATTCCACTACCTCTGCTCCGCTCCGGTCCGCCCCCGCCCTCCGCAGCCGCTCGCTTCCGAACTCAATTTTTACTGCTACCCGCTCTACAACGGCTCTGCTCCGGTGCGGAGACCTGAGGTGGTTAAACAGGCATGCACGGGATTTTCGAGATCTTGCGATACAGTCCGAGCAATAAACGCGGAAGTTAGATCCAAACACCCGTTGTGTGGGAGAAGCATCGAAATGAACTGTTTAATCTGCCCATCATTTGTGTTGAGAGATCAGCAGTGTTTGGATCAACAAAGTGTGACTACTTTGATAGTGGAAACTGTTTTTATGGCTTATTTTTGTGCATTTAAACTTCAGCCGCCATTGATAGTTGTTAAAAGTTGTTAAACCTGTGCGTATGAAACAAAAAACGCCTTTTGTTTACCGATTTATTGTGAAAAACGGAAGTTTTGCTTGCTCCTTTTCCTGTTGGGCGGTTGTGATTTCTGTCCATTTACTGCGGAGGTGCTCCGGCGTCCGGCGAAAATAGGGTCGATTCAATTTTTGCAGGACGCCGGAACAGAGGGCGGCGCACTGTGCCGCACTGCCGGAGCACGGCCGCAGTAGTGGAATTGCTCAGATTGACTACAACGGGACCGATTTTGCTCCGGCGTTCGTGTTGGAGCGGAGCTGAGGTAGTGGAATTTGGGGGTTAGGGTGTGAGAAAGTGTTGTGTTGATTGGTTGTAACTCATTAGGAAATGACATCAGCAAACGTCGTCCCAAACAACCGGCATTAGTAATTTTAGAAGAGTTGCTGGTGAAGCAAAATGGAAGCAAAGGAAAATAAGCACCATTCCTGCTTAAAGGGATTTTACGGACTTTTGAATTTTTATGCTCGCGATCGCCCCCTCAGGCCAAAAGCAGAACGGCAGCTTCAATAGTAGGCTAGTGCATGAGGCGCGCATGCTTTACGTGCACACTCCTTAACGAAAATAACAGCTGAGACAGTCCCGTGTGTGTGTGTGTGTGTGTGTGTGTGGCCCGGAGGACAGAGGACAGGGGAACACGCAGCTAATTAATTAAATAATTTGGTTCTGTCCCTTTCTCTTCAGCACAGCTGACAGAGGTTTATGATGGGTCAGTCCTCCTGCATGCTCAGATCATTCCCTTCTCTTGCTTGAAAAATTGCTCCAAAATGAAAGTTGAACCCACATCTTTTTTATCTGTGAATTCAATGCCGTTCGGCAAGTCTCAAATAAAAATTTGGGCATCTTACTGTAAAAAAAAAAAAGCCATTAATGTAAAAAAGAAACTCTAAATGAACTATGTTCACAACCAGAATCGAAACCAGGTCTTCTGCATGGGAGTCAGGCATCTTACAAGGTGAGTTACACAGTAACATTCATTGTATCTGTAACTGTTACATCCTTGATAACACCTGAAACAACGTCAAACCAAAGAACGGTTCAGAGTGAAAATGGCTATTTTGTTGCTAATTTGCAGGAAATATCTAGAAGAAAGTTCTCCAGAAAGTAGCTAAGGGTCCTCAGAAATGTAGCTAGCTTTGTCACTAGGCGTTAGGAACAGCGACAAAGTCGCTGAGTTAGCACTGCCTCTCTCTCTGCTGCTAAAGCTACGGATAGCAAATGCTACGGGCTATGCCTGAGCGTGAACGCGCATGAAGCAGCCTGCTCGACCCGAGCATCTCTCTTTTTCTGTGATTTTACAGAAAAACTGGCAATCACAGTAAAAATGCCAGAGCTCATTCTACAGGACAAGGGCATTGCAGGAGAATGTATGAAGAAGAAATGTATTATTTCTATACATGTTTTGGCTGTCAAACTTCCATAATGCCTCTTTAAAATCTAACTCCCGACACCAGAAAACACGACGGAATTCTCCCACAGCTTTTACTAAACTTCCGATTAGAGCTGAAACGATTCCTCGAGTACCTCGAATAATTCGAGTACAAAAAATCCTCGAGTCAAATTCTCTGCCTCGAGGCTTCGTTTAATTCTTGTTTAATTAATTCATGGCTTTGCAATCGCCCGGGGTCATGTTTCACCCGGACCGAAATAAGTGACGCACATGCCCACTGGACTGAAGGCACACGCGAGCAGCGAATAAAACTTTACTTTCTCTTAAGCCATGGCGGACAACGTGGACCCCGGTGGAGTGCGAAAAAGACAGAAAATGTCAAAGGTGTGGGACCATTTTTCACGTCGTAAGGTGGAAAACGTAGTCCAGTATAAATACAGTAAAATGGATTTAGCCTACTACAACACCACATCCTCCGTGCTGCAGCACCTGTAAATGTCACTTCTGCAAGCGGACTCGGAGCCTCTACAAGATAATGCTTTTTAGCCTGTTTTTCTATATATTTTGCGGACACTGTGCGACTTTTTCGTTTGTAGCACTCAGTTTCAGCTCACACCGTACATCTGGTAGCAACACGTCGGACTTAAAATGTGCTAAAAAACAGCAGTTTTTACACAACACGTCGGACTTTTTATTGTGTTGTTATTGACGTCTGTTGTCCCTCGGGGTTTCTGCAGGAGGACACGGGTATTTATGAGTGGCGGAGGAAAACGAAAGAAAGTAAATAAATGTTTTGTGATCAGTATAATTTGACAAAACCACAGCAAACATGCTTTTGGCAATCCTTGTTAGTGTGAGAAAAAAAGTGTGGAAATTAAAACGGACGTGTGTTAATAGGGAAACAGCCGGCGAGCTGTTTGCGCCGTGAGCGGTTCTGGTTCTGTTTGGGCCGCAGCCGCTCGTAGCGTTATCCTCCTAGTTTTTGTCTGGTTTGCAGGCGAGCAGATTCTCGCACGAGGAGAGAATCGGCTCAGGTTGTTTACTTATTTTTTGCACAGGCATTTGTTTACTGTGAAGTAAAGTTGAAGTGCTGAAGTTTTGCAAACTAATTTTGAATAAAACTTGAAGAATAACTGGCAATTGCTTTCTCATTTCAAGAGGTCTTTCATAATTATAACATGCTATTTGATATCAAATCAAATCACTTTTATTGTCACGTCACATGTGCAGGTACACTGGTACAGTACATGCGAGTGAAATTCTTGTGTGCGAGCTTCACAGCAACAGAGTTGTGCAAAAATACAGTAATGTAAAAACAAGTAAAATATAAAAATGGCTAATCTAAGTATAGAAATGAATAAAGTAAACAATAAGATAAGAGATATAAAATGTACAGAGGTTGGTATGTGCAAAACAGTGGCATTAATGTACAGTATGGAGCGTGTAATGTTGGAACTTGGTGGAGCTCGCGACGAGGCAGCCATACTCGGCGCCATCTTGGCTCATCAATATATGATATAATGGTTTACAAACACAAAAGAGTAATTTATTAGAGTACTCGATTAATCGAAAAAAAGATTCGATAGAGTACTCGATTACAAAAATATTCGATAGCTGCAGCCCTACTTCCGATACTAGAACAAACGGGGAAATTCCCCCACAGTCTTAATTGACAGGGCTTTGTTGTCTCACAGAGCGCTTTAAAAACAATGACACTTCTGGTCATTGAACACCACATTTTACATCACACAGCTGCTCTCAACCTCTGTATGGATTAAACTATGATATACTTCAACAAAATAAATGCTTTTAATGTTATTAATGTTACTGTGGACGTTAATTGACGCCAGTCAGTGACATCATTCAGTACCAAAGCAGTCGCAATATGCTGACATCTGTGCATTTACTCTGGAGTTCCGGTAAAGGAAACACTACTATTCTATTCACAACACTGCAGCTCTTTGCCGACTGGTGTTGAACTGCAAATGCTGGTTGAGTTTAGTTTGGTGGTGCAGGCTTGGAGGCCCCATGCTCACATATGATTGGCTCAGGAACCAGGAAGTATGGAGGTGAGACACATTGTAAACAATGACTGCGTCCCTCTTTGGCCTTTTTAAAAGGAGAAAACCTGACAACCCTTCAGCCAGCTGAGAAG